TAAAATGAACTTTTTTGATTTTAGCAAATGGCTGCAATGAAACAAAGTGAAAAATTTAAAGGGGTCTGAATACTTTCCATACCCACTGTACATTACAGCAGATACCTTCATCCTGCTTGCACTGAATTTAATGCATAATTAACTTAAAGTATGTTGATATTAAACGTGTCTGAACTCAACTGAGAAATGAAGGGAAAACAGATCAAACTATTGAAAAATACAGTGGTGTTTTATTTGCAAATTAAAAAGCACCGACAATATTAGTTACAATGTAAAAATTGACAACAATTACAAATCTTTATCATACAGTCCAGGAGATTAGTACCATCATTGCTGTTATGCGTTATCACTTAATACTTTATATGCAGAGACTCAGTACCTGTGTACAATAGTTGGCAGTGAGAGGAACAAGAGGAAACAATCTCAGCGACACACCTCTACACGATGAAGTGATCCAAACTCCCCCTCAGCACGGCACTGACATTTCACACTATGGGAATGGGCTGATGGAGAGTGTAAACCCAAACACATTCAATAATTTAGGTCTACCGAGGGTTGCGTATTATGTACATTACAAAGTCGGGAAATGAAAGGACCAACATGTGCATTGATATCACATCAGAACATTGTACAAAACTATTGCAATAAGAGCAGCTTTTTGTTATCTATGCTTGACATCTAGTTGCAGTGGTAACACCTTAACCGACAACCAAACGTCCGTATGGTCTCAATGGGCATACTGTTGTTCTGCCTGGCAACTTTTAACGTGTTTCCCAGAGACAGCTTCCCTCCCCCCCGCCCCCAAACTTAAAATGATCTAATAAATGAAATGAAATAAAATATACAGTTCTGACAAAAAGAATCCAAAGCAGAAAACAGATTTGAAATGCCTAATCTTGTTCTGTACACTATCTGAATCTCTCTGACCACAATGTGTAGTTAAACATATAGTAGCTAGCTTATGATCTTCTTCACAGACTGTGGTAGGATCCATCTTTGTTAGTGTGCTTTCCAGTAACCTGTATGTTCAGAAGCGATGTTTTCTTGAGTACCTTAAATATTGTGCTTTCAACATATATCCTACTGCTCCTGCTCGAGCCAATTCAATGGTCTGAAGCGACTACACAGGAGGCCGAACAGTTTAACAAACCCGTCTTCTGTACATCTGGCCTATTGGAGATAACTGAGCTAAAATGGTTTAGTTTTGGTACATTCTACAATAATGCATTGCCGTCAGCAAAACAACACGTTAAAAACAAAAATCTGAGGAAAGTAAAGAAAACATAACTTTAAAAAAAATAAAATAAAAGGAACCCTCAAAAGTCCACGTGGTAATATTTCAATGAAGATTCTGTCCTGGCACTTGTAAATGCAATAACTACCAAGGCCTATGGAGTAAGGCTACAACATGCAGCCTGAGTCAAGACTCCAGATGTCTCATTCTCCTCTCATACAAACACTTATAAACACTTATGTCAAAAGGTATTTGCCACCATTGTCTCTCTGTCAATCAGGCTGTCATCCATTTAAGTCAATGTTAAGTTGCCTGTTTTCATGTGCTCCAAACACAACAACTCTTCCCTGTAGACACAGGTGACGTTGTGTTCATCTTTTCCACCGGTTTTTCCAGAGCTGAAACCGTGAAGACTGCTCAAGCTTCAGACTGGTTTTTTTTTTTTTGTTTTTTTCCTTCCTTTGATTTTCAAGATGAAGTCCATGCGAAGAAGAGATGTTTGATTAAGGAGAGCAGGGATGTGATTATCAAACACTGACTGAAGGTTTCTCCTATGCACCACTGAGCCTTTGCTTCTTCTGCAGGACACAGCGGAGGCCATCACTAGGACATCCGTGGTCCTGGTTTGTCCTGCAGGGGAGTAACAGCATCTGGAAGCTCAGGGAGAGAGCGGAGCGCTAACAGCTGCTCAAAGCAACTACTACGCTCTCGTCTTGCTCATCATCCACTGCTGTCCTGCTCATTTGGGAAGATCACAATTAAGTTTTGAGTTCTGGTTGGGCATCCCATCTTCAATTGTCGATATATATATATCAGTCCCTTTCAAAACTAGTTGGGATCTTCAACATTTCAGGCCACCCCAGCAGGGTGAAGTTCAGTGTGTGGAGCTGTGGTCTCCCCCCGTGGTGCTGCTACCTGGTGTGGACCAGCTCTTCTCTGAGCCAGCTGGGCAGCGGCTGACCCATCCTGTAGAGCAGCTTGGACAGCTCAATGTTGTGATCCCTATAGTACTCCCTGAGCAAGCCCTGCGACTGAAGGAGACAAGGAGATAAGATGAAATCACCTCTAAAACAAAGTGAAAGGTTAAATAGTAACAGCTGGTAAAGTGTATTTCTTAGAGCAAAAGTCTCATACCTCAGGGTTCATGTCGGGGTACCTGCGCCCTTTACTCTTCCCCAAACACTTGGTCTTCCCTCCCTCCAGCAGCTGACACCAGAACCCTTTCTTGGGGTCGAACCTGTACATAATACATGCATAAAAGAATAGTGAACTACAGAGTACTTCATTTAGAGTTCAAATCTACTGTTACCAATCAAAACCTCCCTATAGTTACGTCAAAAAACAACACCACAATATTAAGTCATTTTTGGGAATGTTACTAAACAGCACCAGTAGAAGGATGACAGGAAATGGGGATGATGCGGTCCATGGTCGGCATCTTTACCCAAAGTCTAAAAAATGCTCTATAGTAAGACCTGATTTCTGCCAGATGAATAAAATGAAGTCTTACTTATCTGCTTTATTTCATTTGCACTTAACTTAACTTGTTTGGAACCTTACACATGTGTTGAAAAGTGACAAATGACAACTAAATGTAATCTGTGTTTGAGTCTAAAGCTATAAATCAATCTGTGAATTAATTTGTAAGCATGGCAGTTGATGAAATTACTCTGCAAGTGATTTAAAGTGAAAGACGATACTCACGCTAGGATCTTGTGGTAGTTGATGACGTTGACCAGGGCCAGATACTTCTGGATTTTATCCATGATTGAAGCCGGCTCAGTCTTCAGCATCTGTCCATCCAAGACTAACAACTGAGTGAGACACACAAACCGCAACTAAACGTCAGAACAGGAGCAGGACTGTCGTGTATGTTAACGGCTGTGGAACATCATCATTACTGCAATCATTTTATCAATTCCAAAATGTTCCTTGTTGAAAAATACAAATGTTCTTTCTTGTACCACAATAGCTACCTGAAAACCTAAAGTCTGCATTACATTATCTGCTAATAGATGAGGCTACTACAGCTTATGTTGTAACAGGAATGACCACAGATACATTTTATAATTCTGGGGCAACAAAAGCTTGTTTTTCTTCCCTCATGGTACAGAAGATTTAACACACTGCCCGTAAGAACTGTGCAAAAAGAGTCAACAAGCCTCTTTTACCTCAAACCTTTCAGGAAACAAAATACCTGCTAGCCACCCATGAAGTTTGATTTACACAGAGGGGAACGTTTTCACATCCCGACTTAAGCCAACGTGGCTTGTAACTGCACGCTGCCCACCACTACGTGCATGAACACACCCACGGTACCTGGCTGGAGTGGTAGAAGTTGAGCCAGCGCTCCAGGTGGATGGCGTACCAGCCTGGCACCAGACAGCGATTCTGGAGGACCCGTAGTTTGACCGGAGCGTCGTGGCTTGCGGTGATGACGTCGTGGAAGGAGTACTTCAACGCCACCGGGTCATCGTGGGCTCTTTGGTGCTGTGGGCAGACAGAGAAGTGAGCAAAATAAATCGATTTATACTACGGTGGTTTTTGTTTAAAAGGTGCTCGTGTTGTTAGTTCAGGGTTGCCTGTGACAGACCTGGTACCAAGAGTAAGCTCTGTCCGCTGGGTTGATGAGGATGGTGACGATTTTGGCTTTGGGTAGGAGGGCTGCAGCCCTCTGAGCAGCCACCTCAGAGTCAAAGTAGTTGGCACTCTTCTCAAAGTAGTAGTCTGAACTTGTGTTGGAGGGCAGGGGGAAGTACTCCATATACCTAACGCACAGCAAACACAAACACACTAAGTATTACAAGCAGCCGTAGTTGATCCGGTCCAATTTAGAATAATTTCTCTATACGCTACGTGGGTGATCGGCCACGTACAACAGCTTGTCACCTCGTATAAAGAAAAAACCCCATCGAGCAGCACTTACGACGTTAACATTTGGGCTGCCCGCTCACATAAATATCAAGCCTGCCAAGTGAATTTTGTGTTGGACTCTTTTTGCTGTGCTGCATGAAGCTTCTCGTTGATGCAGGTTTCACATCAATTAAACCTACAGGAAACTCAAAACAGGGAAGGTTTAACTAAATAGGTGTTGTTTGTGCGGCTGGTCTTGCTCTCAGGAATTCCACTAATGAGTGTATTTGTTGTTGAGTGGGGTGTTGGCATCATTTGCATTTCGCTTCTTGATTTCATTTGCATTAAACAGAAACACCTCTACCACCTTGGGGTTGGAAATTTAATGAGAAAGTCAGAATTCAATCGAATGTTTTTTTCAACTGTTCTTTCATGTTTTTTAACTTGATGTCACCTGCATTCCTACAGATTAAATATTCAGAAGTTTCCTGTATATTTGAAGTTTTACTATCGCATCTGTACTTTGCCACCGAGTTTTACTCCCTCAAGCCACAACAAGTCTGTGCTCACAAACCTAACATCTAAATTGAACTCAACAAATGTAATGTCAAAAACAAGTAAACACCCAAAATCAAAGGAAATAATGCACTTCAAATCCTGAAGTTAATTAAATGTGTTTGGTAGCTGCACTGCTACGTCACAAAAGTCTGTGCGGTTTCTTACCAGTCGATGCCTCTGTGGTAGTTGTGCCCATTGAAGAACTGGATCTCTTCAAAGGTCTCCTTGCTCGGGTAGTTACTGGTCAGGTCAGGGTGCATGCCAAGAAACAGGTAGAGCGCTGTCGTCCCTGAGAGGAGAAAGAAAGAGCAAGTGACAAAGAGGAGAAGTAAAGAGGAAAAGGGTTTAAGGGAGTGTACATCCCATGATAAGATGAACACACAGTGTAAACAACAGCAGCATTCAAACCACTCTGAACATGACCCGACTTCTGCTTCCAACGGAACGATGAACTTCTATTTTAATCATTTCCAGATTCCTCCTGTAGGTGGTGTTGAAGCACCGTTTCTCACCTGTCTTCTGAGGCCCGATGACGAGCAGTTTGGGGAAGCGGTCACATGTTTTCTCTTTGGACCAGATGTCCTTGTGCCTTTTGTCCTCGCAAGGATCCTGTAGCCACAATAGAGATAAACAATCGTTTTGTTTTAAGTGTGGTTTCTACAAAAGTTCTAACAAATACCTCAATTCTACAATACAAGGGAAAGTAGGTTAATCTTTGTTCGCCGGGCACTACAGTTAACAAATGAGATGCATTTTAATAAAATATGCTACGATGAGTAACGACATTGCTCTCCATCCATCCATAAAACAATGTATTACTCATTAGCAAAGCCATTATTTCAAAGGATTGAAGCCATTACTGTTTAATGACATATTTTAGGGGATACAATGTGTTTTATACAGTACCGTCGTCTGCTATTTTGTGTCACTATTGCAGCATTCAACTGAAAGCTGTCAAAAAAAAGATGACTACTGGGTGCAAATTTAATATGCAATAAATATATAAATACATGATATCGCCATCACCTGCCAGAGTGGATCTCTCTCGGAGGGGAAAAGGCTGAAGTACTTCTGAGCCAGCTGAACAGGTGGCAGGGTCTGCATCTTCAGGTTGGTCCACGTCTGGAGGAACATCACCAGGCTTTTGAAGGTGTACAGGCCGAGGCGATCATTCCCATAGTTGGACAGATGGGTCATGAAGATACTGATCTGTGACGGGAAGGAACAAGCAGAGGAGGACTTATTAAATGTGGATGAAGGCAAACTCAATATGCTATAAATTGGGGGTGGGTGGTATGAATTGTTTCAACGGCACATTATCAGTAATGTGTGATATGTCAACTTAGCTAAAGCTGAAACAGTTAGTCGATTAATTGATTTGTCAAAATGTCAAACTTTTAATTGTTCTGGCTTCTAAAATGGGAGAATTGTATCCCATATATTGTATCCCATATCTGACAAATATCATATATTTATCATATCTATATATTATATTTGAATTTTTACAGTTGGTTCGAATTAACAAGTAATTGAAGGTGTCGTAATGAGATCAAGGCAATCGTATTTCATATTTTTTGCTGTTATGACAGCGTAAACTGAACGGATTTATCAAGAAAATACTAAGCAGATTAATAGATAATGACACAGATAAATTGTTACTTGCCCACCTAAATATGACTGATTTGTCTAATTGTCATCAGAATAAGGACAGCACACCTGCTAAACGTTAAGATAACAATGTTTGGTGCTCATATGGACATTGTATTCAGAGATCTGTGGATATCGTTTATCACTGATGATGAAATTGCTTTCCTGTTGCAATTCTCATATCAAACTATTGTTTTAAGAAAATCAAGAACCCCTCTTTTAACTGAGGCAGTGTCACTGACAGGCCACTAAAAACACAAGAGTAATTGCTTCCCTTTCACGCTCATACAAATGTACTTCAAGATAAAGCCGGGGCGAAATTGATGTAAGGGAAAGACCAAACAATAGTGAAATTATTTAAACAAAGGGTGCTTATTCAAAGTTTGAACATGGTTTAGTTTTAAAGAGTAATTGAGAAGAATAAAATTATCTGCAGACTATTCAGGGTGACTTTTGTGGCTTTCACAGTAGTGTAAAAAACAGAAAGCACGACGCAGACGTCACTGCATGACTCACTGCCGAGTCATTGTCCTGTCCCTCATTTAGATTTCAATTTGCACCGCCAGTTAAATGGGTTTCCAAGTGTGCAAGACAAAAGCGGTGGCTTGTGGATGTATACTTGGACTCACAGGGTTCAGCAAAACAGTGAGGAAGAGTTCTCCTCCATTGATGAGCTTGTCCAGTTCATTCGGACTGCCTGGGTAGTCTTTATAGAAGATGGTGTGTGTGAAAAGACCACATGTCTGCCTGGGCAGCACCTGTGAAATAAACACAAAGTCACCAAAAGGACAAAAAAAAAAAAGAAGTCACTCACACACACATTGATGAAGGAAATCGCAAAGAAATGCATCCACACAAATACACACAAACACCATCAGCCCTCCGCTGAGAGCGGCGCTGTCAGGACTCCAGGCGGTTACCCCACACATTGTTTGCTCTCAATAACATTCATATTATGCAGCTCATCTAGCCAAAGCAAACCCCTTATTCACTCCGAGTCTATATGGAAATTCATGGAAATGCGTTTACAGTTTGGAGTGTCAGGGGAACTGAATATCAATCATCAGTAAGCAGTGGAGACTGTCCATTCAGACTGCGGCGCTATCTGAAGGACGGTTGTAGAGCTCTGAGACCACACAGGCTGACTGAATGCCAACGCTACAAAGGAACTGGATCGAGGCTGCACCGTTTCCTATCAGCGCTGAAGGTCAACTGCAGAAAGACATAGATAAGATGTCTTCCTTTTTTTTTGAACCTCTTGAATGTTATCTATTCAACTTTAATTCTGCTCTCGTGAGTATATTATTCAGCACCGGCTGGCACTGTGAAGTTGCATGGGGTGCAGTTTTCTTTGGGGGGGTGGGTGACATTTTAGTGATTGGTTGTGTGCAGACATTTGCTATGCTATGTGGTGGTGCTGAGGCCTGCTGGGCAGCACTACTCGGACAGGTTCACTCGACTTTCCTACACTATTATCTCTTACTTAGTAGAAGAATGCAGCAGCCCAGCTAAGACTAATGAGATTGCCTCAGAGATATACCATACATGACAATAAGATTCTGCTCAGTATCTTTGTGGGACAGCACTTAAGGAAAGCACAGGCGGAATAGAAAGGAGGATGATGGAAAACTGCAGGATGGAGAGTAGCCGCTGGTCATGAGCGACGAATAAGTACAAAAGAACTGGAGGCGGTAGAGACGGCGAGATAATTAATGAATGAAGGATAGCATATGTTGATGGAGAAAGAGAACCCTGAAAGGGATTATTAGCTGAAAAAATAATGGACGTTGAGAAGAGAAGTGGAGGGAAAACAACGGGCCAGAGGTAACAAGATAATGAGGCCTCATGGATGCTCGATGTGGATGAGAAGTGGTCTTACGCTAATGCCGCTGTGGATGAAACCTCGGCGGAAGCGGGCAGGCTTCAGGTGTGGGTATTCCTCTGTGCTGGTCACCTTAATGCCCCACACCTTCTTCCAGGCGTCGTACAGCTGCATGTGGACAGGGTAGACGCCAGAGTGGTGGGGCGCCACCGCATAACCCATGTTGGTGGGGATCCCATGCTCCTAGAGGTTGAAGAGTGAGAGTTGGGAGGCAAGAAAAAGAGAGAATGAAAAAGGGCAACCCATCATGTTCCCAACATATGAAAGCTAGAATATAATCCTGAAGATTTTCATGAAATCAAACCCCACCCCCCACAAATCAATCAGCATATTTCCCGCAATAGCCATTTAATGCTTTAACATTCAGTGATTCTCTCTATATATAGTAGTTCGTATTGGTGGTGGTGGAGTCCACCACTCCCACGCTGGATTCAGCCTTCATTCACAGGAGGGATTCACAGGAAAACCATCATTTTCACACCGTTTACTGTTCGCTCTCTTTCGGTCGTTGCTGATGCTAATTCTGGCAAAACGAAGTGTGAACAAAATGCCAATCTCATTTTCATCCCCTCTCTGTCCATTTGTATTTTTACAAGGACGAAATGGAACAAGAAGGATCCGCCACAGTTAGACTGCACCTCTCCAACCTGAGCAAGCTAACCTACTGTTGTGTGCAGCACGAAATCCGATAGCAGTTGGAAATATTTTAATATTAACAACGTGACTTTGTTTGGCTGCACAGCGAACAGATACACCCGTTGCTCTTCCCAACAACGTAGTAGTGTTTACTGTAGTATTAAACTTGCTGTTACCTCTGTAACCACAGGTATCATCAACCAGGACTCAAATCCTACAGAATATAGCTTGTAAAAAGCATTACCAGCTTGCTATAGACCGCTATTTGAACAAGGAAGATGAGATATGCAAGTACAGCTCTGATCAGGCGCTCACCCAAAGCTGTGATCTGACCTTTGCCCCCCCCCCCCCGTGACTCACCATGGCAAATTTCTTGTTGAGCAACATCTGCTCGGCCAGCACGGACTGGTTGTGGAATAGATGGGGCTGCATGTGGCTCCACATGTGAGGGAACCACCAAAACTCCTTCACGTAGGAAAGCAGCAGGTCGTCTCCCAGGTCCTCCTCATCGGATCCTGGACGTGACAGAGAGAGTGTAAAGGAGGGAGGAGGTTAACAGAAAAACAAGGGGAGATGAGGAAATGGAGGAGGTAAAAAAAATGGACAATGAAAGAGGAGGCAGAGGTGAAATGGGATCAGGGAGGAAATGAAAGTCAGAGGGGCAGAGGGAGAAGTTCAAATATTAGCGAGCAGCATGTGGGAGATTAATAGCAGAAGAAATAAAGTCAGGACATGAAGGAGAAGAAGTGGAGCAGAGAAATTAAAACATTGTGAATCAAAACAGAGGTGTTATCTCTTTGGTTTAGTACGTGTTCTCATCTCTGCTCAAATGAACAGTAGCAAAGGCTCTCTTCACGGGCCGCGTCTTACCAGCGTGAAAGAATTTCCCTGAGAAACCCAGATTGAAGGTGAAGTTGGGCACATGGGTGCGCAGCTCCCTCTGTGTCTCCAGCAGGGCCTGAAACAGTGGGAGGAAAGCAAGAGTGAGTCAATACATGTTGTGCTCATACCGGTGCACGAGCGCATTAATGAGGAAGCGTGAACACCCGCGTGCCCACATGCATATTTCACTCCGCAATTTTCTCTCGGTACACATCCAACATCCAGTCCCGGTTGCCTCACTCCTCTCCTTCATTCCGTTTGATATTTCTCTCTCCTCTGATTCGGGTGTTTGTTTCATTTGATCTCCACGCTGGAGGAGACCCAGTACACACCCTCTCTCTCGCTCACTGATTTCTCTCGTCTTGTCAGGGTGTGATTTGTTCCTAAAAGCTTGCTGTTGCTCTGCCAGTGAGGCGGCTTGATGCTTCCTCCATATAGATATATATATATATATTTTTTTTTTTCTTACACCCTCGGCCTCCAGATGTGAGGGGGTCTGTTCTGCTCTGAGGGGAGGCAAACAAGGAGCTTTTCAACATTCTTTGTACGTCTCTGGGCCCCTGAAATATTCATTGCTGTGGAGCTTCTGTGACAGTGTGAGCATTGGGGCCTGTCAGCTTTGAGCGGCCTACTGGGACGAATGCATTTCAAAGGGAGAAGAGGAGCGGGAGACGGGTTTTTCTGTATGACTGGCACAGGGTACCACATGCTACGTGTGAGGCAATTTTTGATATTTTAGCAAAGAGCTGTTGAAAGAAAAATACATAAATGTGTTCAGTTTCTATTCTGATAAAAGTTTTTATTTCACTCTCAAACTCATGCACAAACTCACCTTTACATCAGGCACCTTCATGCGGGTGCCCTCTTTGCCCACAAAGATGTCGTCTATATCCACCAGGATGTAGCGCTCCAGGGACAGCGAGAGCCTCTTCCCCGTCAGAAAGGCCACGGCGTCCACAAACACCAGCTTGTGCAACCAGAAGACCAAGTTGTTGCCGAACAGGACCCTCTGGATGCCGTCGTGGAGCCCCAGGTCCTGCACCACCGACGGGAGCAGAGCGGCGTTCTGCCCCATTGACGCGACGCTCTCAGCCGACTGGGTCTTGGCCAGCAACACGGGCTCGTACGTGGAGTGGTTGGACTGGAACACGGTCCAGTCGTCCCCGGGGAGGGGACCTGGCAGGGGCTGCCCGGATCGAGTGATAAAGAGCAGGGGGGACTTGGGGTTGACGGTGCAGTCCTTCAGACCCAAGTTGGAGTGCAGAAAGAGAGGGAAGCCTTTCAGCTGGGCACTGAGCAGACTGTTTTCATTGGCCTGATCGACAGAGAGACGGAGACAAGTCACACAGATTAGATAAAGATAGAAACGTATTGGATATAATTCCCCAATTCCTCCAATCATGTGTGAAATGAAGAATGTCAGGCCTACTCAAACGTGAAGGCATGAGGCAGCGTCTACCTGCTATGCTCAATCTGCTGTGCTCCGAGATTGCAGTCAAAATGAATGACCTCCTGCTGTGTCCTCTAAGATTCAAAGTCTAAGGGGTTCAGTGATTATTCATTGAAATTTATCCTCTCTCATGTGTCATTCTCCAAATCTCTCACATCTCCACAAGTCCTACTTTCTCCTGCACTTTTACTGAAGTCTTAGAAACTTCACCACGATGCCTGTGTGGTGGTGGATGTAAGATAAAGGACCACCACACGCTGACATACGCTGTGTGGTGTTCACATCTATTAACTACAACCTGACAGACACCGATATTGGAAAAATCCAATAACAATATTGGATATCAGATATTCTTTCCTCCGGCCCCACAGACCCGATTGCTGTATGTGTAAATATTATAACTGCAAAATCAACCATTTATTTTGTTTATTTTTTTAATTTCTTCCGACCTTATTAAAACCCAATGTAGAAAAGTAAAGGTGACAAAATGTGTAAATGACCATAAATATTTGTTAATCCCAATTATCTTGTGTATTTGTAATGAATTTTCTTGTTATCTATCTCTCGTTTCTTAACACACGTTCCAATGCAGATTTGTAAAATGCTAAAATCGGGTATCCAGACACCAGTTGGGCTCTACTGCAGACAGGTCGGTTCAGATAGCCGAGCAGCAGCGCTGTGTGTCCATTCATTGGGATGCACACCCTTGCTCTGCTTCCTCCTCTCCCAATAGCTGGTAAATCCCACCAGGCTTTCATTTCTAACCTTCACCTCCACCCCTAATATCACGGCACCACCATCCATGCCTCCACATCTCTTATTCTTTCCATGGCTCAGATGATGATCAAAACCATAAGACCAGAAAACAGGCCTTTAGGCAAACAGGTTCAGCTAGGGATTACTGGGAGAGAGAGAGGAGAGAGAGGAGAGAGAGAAGGTAAAAGAGGTATAGAGGAAGAAAGAGGTTTAGAGCACTTTAGAGTAACTAAAACTAGAGAAGAAAAGAGAAACAAGAGACTGGGCAAGAAGAGTGAAGGAGACCAGGTTGCAGAATAAAGATGAACAAAAAATACATAGAGCATAGGATTACAAAGTGCAACAGGACTGAGTGATACTGAACCAGCCAGGTCTTTCCAACCCTGTGAATCCCATCTCCTTAGAGACGGAGGAGCCAGATGGACAGGGCAGAAGGTGTGAGTGAGAGGAAAGAGGGAGGGAGGGAGGAGAGGGAGTGTGGTGTTGTCCTAACCTTGAAGAAGCCAATGATGCCCACTCCATATTCCACACAGTATTTGTCCAGCAGCTCTCGGTTCCAGGCGTCCAAGTTAACATACTTGAGAATGTTCTCGTAAATCACCAGTGTGAAACGCCCTCTGTCTTTGTCCGTCAACGTGGGCATGTCCCCTTTACCGGGAGAGATCTCAGTCCGGTACTTGAACCGGCCAGACTCCAAGATGGCCACAATCTCCTGACCCAGTTGAGAATACTGGCTTTCCACAAACACCAGAACCACAGGATCTGTCCTGGCCCCTCCAGGATCCACCCCTGGGCCCCCTGAGACGCCCCGCAGCGGCAGCAGCCGGGACGGCGTGACCCTCGGGTCATCGGAGTCCGCGGATGCTCCCTCGGCCCCGGACACGCCCCCTCCCGATGGCTCCAGCTCCCGCTTGACGCCATAGAGGAAGTAGGCAGAGATGAAGACGCTGACAGTGCAGAAGAGGAAGAGGAGGAGGAGGGAGGTCTGCAGGGGGAGGAGACGGACCAGCCGACGGAGGCGTGTCACGCATCCCAGCATCGTCTCGCGCCACACCGCTCCGCCCCACCAGCCCAGCAACACGGGGGACAGTCTCTCTCGGCGTGGGTAGAAAACGGTGAGCAGGGATTATTCACAGCAGAGTCAGCCTTGCTATCGAGCTAAACACAAACGGCGTTAAAGCAGCAGCTGCGGCAGCTACTGGAGAAAGAAATGAGACAGTCTCACGTTGGCTCTCCCTCATATTGCAGCACTGCTTATGTCACCATGGCAGAGAAATAGGGGGCCCTTGGACTGCTGGTGCACACTTATGCCTCAGAGGGAGGGCTGGCAGGCAGGCCGAGTCACTAGTGGAGAAAGATGATGGAAGACTCCATCACCTGTCCATCATGAGAACCTGCCAACCATGTCCCGGTTAGATTTCGCCCCGCTCTCTTGATTGGAGAATGATCTCTTGAGAAAAGCAATGTCACGCAGGTCATCTCAGCAGCACCATTCCCTTAGGATCGAAACTCCTCACCTAGAAAAACAGCAGGACAGAAGAAAATGTCAAAATCTGAGAGAGCAGCAGCACCTATAGAACAGACGACATATTGCTTTCTTTTGTTGTGTGGGTTCAGCTGTGTGTGGGAGATGCGTGTATACTGCCGGTGCCAACACTCCAAAAGTTCACTCCAAAGTAGTCCTTGCAATCACCTACACAGAGTAAGAGCTGCCAATTTCCACACACACACACACACACACACACACACACACACACACACACACACACACACACCTAACCCCTGTGAGCGCAAACATAAACACACAGAAATAAATAAAAAATACACTTGCTCACGCAGCCTCCACACAATCAATAGGCAGAAAGTGAGTGACAACAAAGCCTCGAGGCGAGCCAATCCCGGGTTCAGTCCAGGAGGACTGTGCGACTGCATACAAGTGAAGCCATCACCCACGGGGGACACTCGCCTTCTATTTCCCTCAAATCCTCAACAGTATCCAGACCAAAATGGAGTGCAGAAGAAGGGAGAAAAGCAAGCTGACGGAAGGGAAGCGATCCAAGAGCAGAGGAGTGGATGACAGTGACAGTAACAGCAGGATCCATTACTCCGGGAGAAAAGCCCTTACCACACTCAATATACATCCCCATACCCTCTGCAGGCCTATTATAATACACCGGCCCTTTAGCCAATCCCCATCAAGCCGAGTGAGAAAAGTACACAATGCGGGATGAGAACGGTGCGAACTCGCCGCTTACAAATACATAACTTCTCCATTTAGAGGCTTGTTGGAGAAATGACACGGAGCATCATTACCTTTGCATGGAAATGCTCCGTCCATTAAGCTGGAGCGCTATCGAGGTGCACACGCAACCCTTTGTAAAACCCTAGATACCACATTAGAGTAGTCACAACCCTCTCAACCCAAAAGCATTAAACAGTGACCACCAAAACCCATCAAGACTCAGACACAAATCAGACATAAAATGGATTTGATAATGCCATCAAAGGGTTTATTAGTAACACTATAAAAACAAAGTTTAATTAAAGGAGAGTAACATTACAAATACAAGAGTAGCCATACTGTGCTCAGCCCAATGGATCCTATAAACTAGATGAATTAGATATAAATATATACATATAAATTAGACGATCCTTTGATTACTGAAGTTATCGTTCATGTAAACACAGTACTTCTTTGTGAAAAATACAGCCCATATTAGTGTCCCTTTAATGTTGTCAAGGTCAGCATTCTGGCGAGTAGCTCTGCCCCCTCCAGCCTCCCAGCTAAGCTTAACAGGATGCCTTAAATCTCCCCGCGAGTGCAGTGGAAGAAATCACAATTTTCTCTGAGTCGTGTCCAAGTTTCCTCTTTACGGGGAGTAAATGTAAAGAGAGGCCGTGAAAAAACAGTGGGCGTTCAGAGAATGCATCGCAGCCGAGCAGACAAAAAGCAACAGCCCTGGTCGCTTGAAGATCCTCACGATGCCTTGTTTGTTGGTTTCTGAGGGGGTTTGTGTCGTGGCATATCAAAGAATGATTAGTCACAGGAAGTGGCTGCTGCTGGAAACAGTGAAGCAGAAGAGGAGACAGGGGGAGACGACTTTAAACACAACACCGAGGCCTCACAGTTTTACTGTCTTTTGGAGAAAGTTTGGCAAAATAGAAAATAGAGAAATAAATTAAAACTTCAAATGATCAAATTTCCCAGGGTCAATAAAATGTCACGTTTCCAAACTACTTGTTTTGTTCAACCAATAGTCAAAAACCAAAAGATATCAAATATGTCAATTAAAGGTTCCCTGTGGATTGCTTGGTTTCTTACCAAAGCGCAGTTTGCATCTTTGACATATATATATATATATATATATATATATATATATATATATATATATATATTTTAACATTGCACAGCCGGCGTTTTTCTTCTCGGTCTTTGCTGGTGCATTGCTGCATTTCTTTGCCCACCACTACCGCACCCTGCACATCAGTGAACGGGTGTGAATCCATCCCAGCATGAATAAGTAAAGTCTCCCTTGTGCACATGTATGAGACGTGTTGTATATTGATATAGTAAAATAACATTATCAATAATGCAATAATGATTTCAAACACATATCACCAGGCTCCAGTCTTGAGGAAAAAGGCAATCTTAAGTTATTTTCCGTTAATGATTAACCCGAGTGAAGACGTGTTATCTGCGTCTGCAGGGAGACAATGAGCTCTGCCGCGACTTTATTGACACTGCTGAAAAGGGCTTGAGAGCAGATTAAATGGTGACACACCACAAACATAGTAGAGGCGCAGAAAACCTCACTTATTGCCCATTGATGTGATGACCGCCTCCCAGTGTCGACCTTCAGACCGAGAGGGCTACAACCGAAGGAAGGAAGGAAGGGAGAGAGAGAATGTGACAGCCTGAGAGGGGGAGTAAGAGAGCCGCCGACACAAATAGATGGAAAGCTCAAGGCCTCGAGTGTGAAACTACAGCTTTGAGATCGGGCCAGCTAAATAGAGCACAATACATTAGACTATAATGGAGACGAGCATATAGCACTGACATAAGAGAATAATGGCTAATGGATCTCAAACGTCTGCACCATCTTACTTAATGAGTCTTCTACTCTCTGTGCCATGCGTACCTCCGAAGAAGCCGAGATACGACCGCAAACATCTCCCTCCGCGGTAATTGATGCAAAAATGTAGAGGAAGAAACGAGAACATGAATATTTCATGTTCGGCGGATGAGAGGTGTAGCCAGCAGACACATACGCAAGGTACAGAGCAGCCAAAAGGTGCGTAGAGACCCGAGTCTGCCAAAGAGAGTCAGCGTTTTAACTCATGCATAAAAGGGAGCGGCAGATGGAGACTAATGCGTATCTGATAGCCAATCTTTTCATTCCCAAAGATGGAAAGAGCTCAGACTGAATATGAGCTCAGTATCCGCACATGTGGACTAAATGGAGGTGGCAGATGGACCAATAAGAGGAAATAAAAATAAAAAAAAAGCAGTAACATGAGTGGAAAGGGAGAAACGAGCAAAGGGGAAAGACAAGATGATCAACTACCAAACCTCGAGAAAAAAAACCGATTGGCGGGAGAAATGAGCGAGAAATTGCCCCCCGAGGCGACCATCAATCTCAAGGCTTTGAAAACATCAATTAAAATAGTCCCCTCGTTATTTTATAGCAGCTGAAAGATGGTGACAGAGTGAAGTGGAGGCATAAACAATGGCAGGTGACGGTCGAGAGGACAGACTAATGCTTTTCCTCGGGGTGGGTGGTCACTAAAACCTGCTCCCTCTACTTCATGGGAAGCAGGCCAGCACCATGCTGCTAGATTAATGAGAGACGATGAGCAACAGGGGGACGGAGCCTGGTCCTCAGCTGTAACAACTCTCTGGATAAACAACGCTAACGTTGGCCATATGTAGCCTCACACGTCCTGTTCACCCCCCCCCGACACTGCTGTTGCACTTCTTTTAAAGTGTAAAGTGTGAATACGACCAAGTGTCCCAGGGCTTGTGAGGAGAGTCAGTACATTAACACCGTGGAGCAGAGTCAGACTAGCCGTGGGTGATCCCTTCGACAAATAAACTTTTAAAAGGGAGAGCTGGACCCTTCGAGCCCCTCAGGACCCAACAGTTCCCCCCCCCCCCCCCCCC